AGGAAATTAATAAGTACTAAAACAAAAATTAAGAACTCTGCACAGTATATATGTACAGTATAAATAAATATATATAATTATATATATATACATGCATATATATATATATATATGAAGTGGTTATAAACTTAGAACTAACCCACAGCATGTTTTCCACTTTAAGAGAATTAATTTTTCCTTCAAGAACTAAAGATGTGGATAATGTGCTACAGATTTTTCTGCCAGGTAAAAATACACATATATAAACATTTCTAAATTGTAGATTCTTAGGAGCTAAAGGAAATATATAACAGTATAAAATCTTATTGTTGGTGCATCTCTCGTGTGCAAAACAGCAATCTCTGACAGCACCTTCAAGTAAAATAGTTTTATTTCCCCTTCAGTGTCACATCGGGGATAAAAGTAGCAGAGTCATTGTAACAGGTATATTATTGCTGTATTTTTAGAGGTTAATTTGTGTAGATTGTGTATATTATTGTTAAATGACTTTGTGTAAAAGGATTTAAATGTAATAGTTTTACAGCAGGATAACTGTTGAATTGTAGGTATATGAAATATTTGTTTATTTATATGCAGAGATTTACCATGCTGAAGAGTTGTCTTGTATTTTCTTCCATTTGTAATGTATCCTATTTATATATTATTGAAGTTCGAAATAATGTTTATGGTATTTTAGTGTCTTTGTGAGCCAAAGAAAAAAAAAACAACAAAAATATTAGTTGACACTTTCATTTAAATCCTAGTGCCCTTAAAATAATAATGTAAAGATAATTTTACTGAATATAAGGAATTATAATATTGTGTATAGTCTGTCAAATTATGAGATCCCTTTAATCTATTAGAATTTTGAGTTTTATTTATTGTAATGTCCAGTTGTCTGTTCAGTGTTCTGAATGCTTTTCTAGTGAATATTGGTTGCTAACCAAGGCCCCTATTTTTGAGTTATATTTCAAGACTAATCTCTAGGACCAATTTAACTAAATTCTGTGGAAGATTCCTGAAGGTCTATAGTATTTCTGTTGGAGTTTTAACCAGCATCATTCTTTTAGTGAAATGGAATTTACCTTGTGTTTGGAGCTTGTAAAATAAATAAAAACAAAAGTAATGTCAGAATCTTTAAATACTGCTGGCTTGTCACAACACTAAACTGGCTAGAATTTTCAAAGTATAGACACGAGAGTCATCCACAGCTTGTTCAGTTTTAGTGATTAGATAATCAATATTACTGAGTGGAAAACTCCATAGTGGAAGCAGAGTAGTGGAACAAAATGAAGATTCAATATTCCTCTGTGTACTGAGTTACTGTCATGGTGATAAATGGAATATGCTAATTTCAAATATTTTAATACATTATTTCATAAATGATAGTTATCTTCTATCCAAGTCAGTAATTAATTGGTTTTTCCTTTTGTTTGTTGTGTGTTTTTTTTTTCCCAAATCTGTAATAAGATTAAGTTATTTTAGAAACATTCCTTGAAATGAAGCCACGCTATGCAGTTTTCACAGCCTCTCTGGCCCCTTCAATCCTGTGGAAGGACAACTACAGCCAGGAGAGATTTCCATCCTGCAGGTCCCACTTCTGAGGATACTGTCTCACATCTTTGCCTGGGCCAGCGCAGGGAGAAAGAAGGAACTGTCATGGTAAATGCCATATCATCATATAGCACAGCCTTCCTGGCTTGTCACTGGACTACTGATTATCCCTCTTCTGCAACCTTTTGTAAAACACTTCCTTTAAATTATTTTAATTTAATCTAAAAATCAGTATCAATTTATCACTGTCTTTTAAATTTATGAGCGTGAGTTTCCAAAGATTATCTGCATCATTACTTTTACAACATGAAACCCCCCAGTAATGTCAACACTACAGTATGTTTTTCATTAGGTTATTTTCCCAAAGACAGTGTAGTTGTCTTCATGTCTTCTTGATCTTAAACTTCAGTCTTCCTTAACTGTAACCCTGGTATCTTACCATGTCTTCAATACTTAACATTTCTTGATGTAAACATTCATGCTGCATGACCTGAGGCCTGCAATACTGAAGTAGTCAGTGTGAACATGGACTTCAGTATCAACTTCCATAGTATTTAATGCCATTCTCTATAGATATCAGCTATTCATCAGAACTAGAGGGCTTTCCATTGAGAGCTCTTTTTAGAATGGAGAAAGAAGTTCGTTTTGAAGTACGTCACATTTTCATTCACAGGCTTCTGCCTGAAATCTGATCTCTGTCACAGTTTTGCTTTATTCAAAGGGAAGCTACAGAAGATTGAAGTATTTCCCTCAGTCCTTGTTTATGAGAAACAGTATGGGCTAGTATGATCAATACAAAGATGTATCACTGCTGACCTAGCTTCACTTGGGGATTTTACATCTTCCACACAGGCAGCACTATGGTCCTTGTGATGTCTTCAACCACTTTGTAAGTGGGAATTTCTGACTTCCTCCACCTCCCCAGTCCAGATATTCCAGCAACAGCATTACTGAAGATCTCAATTTATCCTTAATCTTCTAACCTTAAGATTTTAACCTCATGGACATTATATCCAGATAATAATCTCAATATTATAATAATAATAATATTTTAAATGTCATATCTCCTAGAAGTGTATAAAGTAGGTCAAGATAGCAATTCTGATGTACCTGATTATGAAACTATAAGGCCATAATATGGCCTCATGTCCAAACCTTGGACAGTTCTGTCATGTAGTCAGAAATAGATCTAGATCACTTCAGTACATATACAGTATTTGCTCACTAATATTTCTGCTTGTTCATTTACCTACTGCCATTGATGGTTTGCAGATAGGTGGTAATAATGGAGCTCCTCCTGCATGTTTCAGAAGTAAGACAATTATGACAAAGGTGTTTAAAGACAGGAGGGTTAAATTTATCTTCCTACCCTCTGCATTTTATCTTGCCTTTCTGCACCATCGTGTTTGACACAGATGATACCTGCAATTAGATTTTTGCAAAGCTTTTAATTCCAATGCCAGCCTCTGGCATGTTTGCCTGTCATATGTACCTGCTTCCACAGGCACAGGGCTCATATTGACTTCCATCTTGCTTAGCTGATTTTAACAGAGCAGTGACAGTGAGTAAACTCATCTGCATTTTCTTCTCAGTAGGTAATTTTCACCTGAGTAATATATTACAGCTTCTCAGACAAAAGCTTACCCGGAATTTTCGTGCTTTTAAATCCGTACACTATTGACTGTGAGAGATCAGGAAGTATGAATATACAGAAGGGTCGGTTAATTCAAAGCATTGCAATTCCAGGTGAGTAACTTTGTTTTTCTGAGTTTTTAAGTATACTCTATGGTAGCAATTTTGCCTTCAAAATCACACAGGCAATCACTGCAATTTTGTGTGGGTGTATTTGGATCAACTGAACAATAGGCAAGATTTTAGCTACACAGGTAGCTGCAGTGCTTAGGAATTGGTGTAATTTATTTGGAAAAGACTTGAACATTGGATAAAAATCCACAGCAGCTGTTGATTCTGAATGAGAAAAATTCTGATTGTATTATTACATGTAATTTTAAGAGAAGATAGATTATACCATTCATGACAGACAGAACCAGGGGCCTTGGGAATAAACCAGAATTTTAAAGTCATCATTGACTTAGTTCATAATCTGTTTTTTGAATGGTGACAAACATGAAGAGGCTTTTTAAACAGAATCTGTTTTGTGGTTTAAGAAATGTCAAAGTTACAAAGAGGATATACAATGCAGTTTTAATTATTCAATAAAAGTTGATCTTAAAACTGTCTAATTTGTCTCATCGAATTTTTGTGAGCTCTTTTGTTTTCTTAAGAATATGAGACAAAAGCTGTACAACATTATCCCTCACCTTAATTTTATTTTCTAATTGAATGTGAGCTTGTACCATAACAGACTGAGGAAGAAGCTGAAGTTCTGAACCGTCACCAGTTTGAATAGAGTTGTTGAGACATTAGTACTGTGTAGAAATGCTGAAAAATAGAGAATCTGAAAACCTTTATATGTGGTGTTTTGTGTGGCTTTTTAAATCCTCATCCAAACTATACAGAGGACCCAAGAAAATAAACAGGAACTTTGGAATGGGTAAAAAGAATAAGATCAGTCCCTTGTGCTAAAAGCTCTGCTATGAGTATATTTATAAAACTTATTTATTGTAATAAGGGTATCTTAGGAAGACTTGAATACATGCTTAACTTTGCACACTGTGCAATGCCACCAGTTGATCTCAGTGTTTGTTAATTAAACATGTTTAAACCTGAACACAAGTAGGACTAGGATACTTTTATGTGATCAAACATCTACTTGACTGAAAAAGTAATTTTGTATATGTGAAGAAAATGAAGAACAGGTCTAGGTCTAAAGGTGTTTTGAATAGTTATGTTTCAGCTCTTCTGTGCTTGTTGTGCAAGAAATGACACAGAGGTGGCATGAGGAGCCATCATGGTCATATGACAATACCCTGTGGGATCAGTACTGCAGGATGCCCTGGGTGCCTGATGGAAAAAGCATTTAAATTTGCATTAGCAGCAAATCTGTGAGTATTCTTATCAGAGTCAGTTAGACCTGAGTTTTTGTTCAGCCACATTTGTATTAAAGATTACAATAATGCACAGTCTTTTAGAGTAAAAATGTTTCCTTGAAACACAAACAAATGAGATATTGGCAGCCTTATTTTATGAGTAAAGTAAGTATGTTTTGTAAGAATAACTTTGTAAAGGTGTGCAAGGGAAACTTCATCCTGCCACCACAGAAGTCGGAAGATTTGCTGCTGATTGCATTAATCGATCTTTCCCATTCTTGGAAATGAAAGACCATTTCCTAATATAACAACAGAATGAGACCTTAAGTCTGGAATACTTCATTTTTACATTATCTGAAAAAGGCTATAGATAATGCAGT